GTCAGTCAGTAAATCGAGAAAATGTTGAAGAATTACATATCGTGCCAAGGAGATACTCACACCCTTCGGTTCCAATTAAGTCAAGTCTTAACTTCTGCGCTTCTGTTCAGAAGGGCTTGGACCCAGCCACTTGGTCATCATGGCCGCCTCGACGGGCAAACCGCCGTTCAGTGATGGCACCGCCGTCAGTGTTGCACTGAACCCATCTTGGTACGCCACAATGCGACACGGCCAGCACCTCTTGACAGAAAAAGTGCGGGAGAATCATCGACGTCACGCAGTCTGTTCCCCGCAACAGGTCGCAATCACATTACATTAGTTCTGGAGTTTGTTGGAGTGTCAGCCTTCTCGGGTGGTGTAGTCATGGTACGGGGGTTGGTGCTCAGCGTGCACTGCACACAAACTACTGAGCCAACGGTTCAGAAGACAGCATCCCGCACAGTGCCACGTCCAACATTGGCGCACCCCCGGGCAACCTCCCGCAACCTGCACCCCGCTGAGCGTGGCGCCAACCTTTCGGGGTCCCGCGGGCGAGGAGCGGCGGCCCACGGCCTCTGCGGCGCCTTGCGATGTCGTGGGACAGGCAGAAGGACTGGGAGAGTCTGCTGCAGTCCTACAAGACGCACCGCAGGCAGGACACCGTGCGGAAGATGACAAACATCGCGGTGGAGGACGAGGCGGAGGTGATGGCAGTCCCGTGAAGAGGGGGAGTCAATCCGTGCAATGGGCAGGCCCCGCTCTTGAGCAGAAACTTTGATGGGGCTGGCTTCCCCGTTTTGCGGAAGGTTGGCAGAAGTATCAGGGGTGGAACGAGGCCAGGGGGCAACACGGTGTGGCATGGGTGGCGAGGGAATGTGCACTCCAGCGGGGACGGGGCATTGGGCCATTCTTGGGATGGGGGCCTTAAACCGCACCGAGGGAGTCAATCGCCGCGAGTTTGTTGGCCTTCATGTCCGTCCTTATTCGCCGTACAGGATCATCGCTGTGCTCCTCGCTTACAGGAGTGTTGAATTTGCGGTAATTCCAACTGGATGAGGCGATTGTCTGGACCAGGATAGAGTGACCTGGAGAGTGTCAATCAATCGCTCATCAGCTTCTTTGAATATTGTTGTCTGGCATGAACGTAGTCCAGGTTGCCAGGCGATTGCGAGATTGCCCTTGGCTCCTTTGAGGGCAATTGGGATTTCCTTAATCGCGTCCCATGCCGGGCTCCAGAATCCGAGGGCCCTGTAGAACTAGCCACATCAACTTTAGGAAGGCGACGGCACAAGCCTGGCTCCTGCACAGGAACAGATAAGAAGTGCAGTCTTGCAGCATGTTTATTCAAAAGTTGTCCTTTTGACACGAAACAAAACAGATACTTGGAAGCCCTGCCTAATCAGGAGCGTCTGAAGCTGTTTGCCACGCAACACAAGTTCACCAAAGAGAGTCTGGCTGCATGTCAGTTTCTTTTCTGTCATCCTTTCCACGTTGTGAAAATGGGTGGTATGCAGCATGGTGATGTGGGAAAAGGACGAAAAGTGGAGGGATATTTATGTGCCTGCCAGTGCCTGCAGGAAATAAGGGTTTGTTGGTCGCGACAATTGTCCTTGCAACTGCCAGAAGGAGATCAGCCCCCAGTACACTTGACCCAGCACATTCGACACACTGTGTTACTCGGAACATGCATCCTCAAACAGAAATGCCGCTGTTGTAGAGTCAACAGAGGTGGGGTGATCCTGCTGTGCTGCTGGCAGTGCTACAAGCATGTGTGCCTGCTGTTGGAGAAGTCCCTGAGACGCAGTGAACCTGAGGACAGGCTGCCTTATCTCCTCCTGCTGTCAGGGATCCTCACAGAGTCAAGGGAAATCTACAGCACACACACAAAATACTGTAAGTGGGAAGGTTGCACCCATGCCAAAGTTTTCAGCAGGCCTGAAGTTTCTGGAATGGATTGTAGCTATCTGTTGGACCTCGTCCATGAGTATTGATCCCCACCATAGCTGCTGTCACTGTGCCCTGAAAGGAAGAAAATCCATCAGCTTAAGCTGTGACTGAATGTACGAGGAATGCAGTCACCTGCTTCTTGCAAACAGCCGATGGCCTCCTCAATGTCTTAGCAGCCCACATGGCTGACTGATGTGGCTATGGACATGACAATCCTAATATGGTCTGCTTGTGGAATGCAGCGAAACGACTCAAGGATCGCATGGGCAAAATATTTACAGCTTTGGAGGAGGGCCCCGAGGATCACAAGGTGGGACATGCTTGTCTGATTGATTGATTATCTGATTGATTGCTTTTTCTAAAATATGGCGGAGCACTGCCTTGAAAGGGGTGGCTGGGGACCATCCGAAGGACATTGTTGGTGGATGCCATGGTAGTGAAGGTGCCATGTAGGTGAAGCTAAAGTTCAGTAGCTTTGCCTGCTAGCGCTCACATTGCGCAAGCACACCAAGTGAGGTTTGGACCACTGCCCAGTTTCTGATCATTTCTTCTGTGCAAGCAGCTGCAAGTAATGCAAGTCTTGGACACTTGGGCAGAGCAGAAGATATTCCCTGCCTCAACCCTGCAATCGTTGCGGGACACGATGGAAAACTTTGGGTTCCGAGTGCCCCCGAATGCGGAGGACGTCGTCCAGCTCCCAGCCGGGATAACATTCCCCGACCCAAATGCTTCCTCCTCTTCCTCGTTCCCTGCCAGCCTGTTGCCAAAGCCAGCCAAGCGGTCCCGCCTGGTGGAGAGGGACACGCTGCCGTGGGACAAGGTGCACCTCATCCCGTCCATGTTTTGGCTGATGACGCCAGAGGGCAAGTACAGGCCGTCCCGGGCCCCACCTCAGCACCCGCCGCCAACGACCCTGCCAGAAGGGGCCACCATGCTGCTGCAGTGTGACGCTGGGCAGTCCGCCAGGGGCTCGGGGTGCTCTGCTGTTGAAGGTCAGGGTGTTGCCAATGGTGCCGAGTCTGCTCCATGATTGCTGCCAGCACTGTGCCATGCGAGTGGAGGGCATTGGTGTCCGGCGCTGCAAGCAGAGTCTTCCATACATTCGAAGCACTGCCTCCAACACCAGCAGCCAGTTTGGCGCATGGAGTGTTCCACCGTGCCATTCGTGGATTTCACCATTTTCTGGATGATTGTGGGGGTACAATTCGTTGCAGCAGGCTGTTGGACTGCGAGGGGCAGAGCTCAGAAACCCCAGTCAAGCCAGAGGGTGGCCAGAGCCATGCACCTCCAGCTTGCATAACTGATGCGAAACAGGGTCGCATGTAGCACCTGCTACAATGACTGCACTTGATGCAAGGCTTTGCTGCCAGTTAGCAATGCTCTCGCAGTGCTAGAGCTTGTGACCATGCAGTGCGTCGTGGTTTCCTGTAGCCACGGCCATGGTGCGGCTCAGACAGAGAATCAGAAATAAGAACAGGAGCGTGGATTGAGCAGTGGGGCAGCCAGCATGACCGGCAGCTCGTCTGTGCAGGTGGTTTGGAAACGGAATTTATGAGATGTGGAATCATCGGTTTGGTGTGCGAAGACCAGTGGGCACCATTGCAACGTGGAATTCCCTACATGGAAGTGCGAATGGGTGGATCTGCACAAGCTTGAGATGGCCCGGCACTTGAAACGACCCACTCAATAGGGGTCTTCACGGTCCAGCAGTGTAGAAAGATGGGCCATTCGGTGGCTGGCTTTGGACAGAAACGAATGGGATCGCCCTTTCCTGGGGTTACACGGACAGATTGAGACGGAACGCCCAGACTTTGGGCGCCCCATGGACTGAACCGGGCTAAAAAGGACTGTAGCGTCGTCACCGGTCACAGGCTGTGGCAGAACGACGAAATCAAGAAAGGCAATCAGCCCATTTCCGGATGCAGACATGCTGGGCAGCTATGATTGAGGGTAGTGACATGTTTCGACAAACTTTGTGGCAGACTTGGAATGCTACAGACAGGAGCGAACTTGATTCCATCGCCCAAAATGTCGGAATGTGTGAATGAAACATTGCTGTGGGGCAGCAAAGCCCTGGTGGGCAATGACAGAGGTTTGGACCAGCCAACAATTGTTCCAGACAAGCGTGTTGGCGATGGGACAGGACCTTTGCACCTGCTCGCTCAAATAGAAAATCCTTGGAGTGTCATAGGTCCGCATCGGTTAGCAACGTGGTGAAATATCCGTGGACTTTGTGTATCATGGCAGGCGACAGAATCTCGCTCGCATTTTGGGCGATTCCCATCCTCTGCAGGTTCTTTACAATGCTTCCGTCCAAGAGACAGCCACCGTGCCGGGCTTGTGCCCTTTTCCTTTCAGAAACTGGTGTTCTTGCCTGCCACCCGGCCAAGGATTCGCCAAATGCGCTCGCTCCCTGTCCTGGGCGCATTTCAGGAGCTTTCCGTGTTCACGGTCGTGGAGGAATTGTAGCACTGCACTGCAGTGGCACATGCGTGTGCTTATCCTGTGCGCGCATTCACTCAGTCGTGTAAAACGAGCCAAGGTATCTGCAAGGCAATGAACGGCAGTACGCAAACGTGCGTATCACCATCGAGCGCGTTCCATCAAGATGCACATTGTACCCCCGCCTTCGAGGATTCCAGCGGCGGCAACGCTTGCCGCAATTGTTCCTTCATCTTGGAGCAGTTCATGGTGCCCACACCGGCACTGGGCTCTGCAATTCTGTCATCAGGATTGGAGCGGCTCTTCCACATCCAAATGCACTGACACAACCTTTTCTTAACAGCAAACTGCACAGGGGCTCAAGAATCGTTTTTGCCGCGGTTGAGGATCACAATTTCGAAATTTACTAAAATCTGAACTATGTGTGCACTTCCACACACGTCCCGTTCTCTCCTTCCTTCTGTCCGCATACCATTCAACTCTTCACTCTGTTCTGTAGTCGCTCCATTCAGAAGCGGCCCAGCGCGGCGCATCCACAGACACCAACGGCAGCGCCCCCGTCACAGCCACGCGACCGTAGCCTCGCAGCGAAGTGTGCAACCTTCAGGACCGTGCTCTTGCTTGGCTTTGCGTCAACCCCCAGCTTTTGCCTTCATCATGTGGCTGGCTGCGCTCCGGACTTTCCGCTCCTTCTTGTGATCCTTGGGACGGTAACGCATGACGAGTTGATCTGCAACGTCTTCAATGACCTGGAAGAGCGATGATCGTCAGTGAAACACTTGCGAGGGCTTGCTGATACAAGCATGACCCACAGCAATTCTTGGGATGTACGCAATTCCAACTTTGCCAGCAGTTCGCCCGTTGGAACGCACCAGCCACAAAAGTCACATGCTGACAAACATTGATTGCCCCACAAGTATGTGGTGACTCTTCCAAAGAATCAGATGGAAAAGACAGGGCTTGCATTGCGAATTCCAACGCGCCCCCGAACAACTCTTCGCTCGTGTCCATGTAGTGGCAGATGAGCGAGAATTATGGAATGCACCAAAGCAACCAAGTACGGCTGTTGGCAGGCATCCACGAGCAACGCACGTAGCCCTCGAGCAACCCGACTGACGTTTTGTCCCCATATATCCTGTCAGGGCTATCAAACAGGGTAACGGCAGAATGCGATGGACCGCATCCGATCCAACACGCTGATGTATACTGTCCTTCTCTTTTCCCACTTTCGGGCACCCTCCTCATCGATCTAACAAGGAAAATATACCACCCACCAATCTGACCAGCAGTGGCCAGGTGTGACGCATTTCGCTACACAGAATCGGCGATAGAACGTGGACGAGGAGGAGAGAAGAGCGGAGCAAGGGGGGCCCATGACAGCATTCCAGAATACAACTACGGCATACAATATTGCCCCGAACCTACTGACTATATTGCATTTTTAATTGGCGATGTTAGAACAAATTACGAAACACGCATTCAAACTCAGCTGGCAATACAACTCACCCACATCGTTAACCAATGGAGCTGCCAGCATGGGCTCGAAGACAGGAAAGCAAAGAAATCTGGTGAACAGACCTCAATTTCAGCACAAACCAACCGTCTCTGCGCCCACCAAGGGGGAGCTATGACGAATGATAACTGTCAGTTATGAGTAATATTCCCAGGGGCACGAATGGCCCCCTTCGCTGGAGAGAAATCTCGTGGTTCTTTCTTGATTTTTCTGCACAAACACTGCTCGGGCTTTTGTATAGAAAAGCACACCGCAAGGCCCCAAACAATCTTCATGACCGAATGTGTTGCAGGTATGCACAGCAAAAAATCAACACTCTTGGACCCACGGGGCCCTCACCTCGAGAGCGTAGTCGAGGTCTTCCTTTGTATGCGCCGCTGATATGCATAAACGAGTACGCGAATTGACGAGCGTGGTCGCAGGGAACCCCACCATCACGACAGCCACCCCGTCTCTGAAACAAAGCCTTGAGAAGAGCGCCAACTTCCCCGGATTGTATATCATGACGGGCTGTGACATTCACATAATGAGACTGTAAAGAATGTGCCCAATCGTGTACCAGAAAAACACAAGCCTGGAGCCAGACTTTTGACCCTGCCCAATACACTAAATACCACCAACAAGGACAGTGCTTTGTCACATTAACACTGACGGATCCAAAGGTTCTAGCCCTGCAGCCAGGGCAGTGAGGTCTACATTTGTCAGTTGCGAGAACAAAGTGTCGTGACGACCAACGTGACAAGTGGCATTCACGCGATTCCCTGATCCCACTGCGCTCGTGAGTAATCCTCGCAGCCTCACCATAACAGGCGAGTCAAAATCCCCAAGAACCTCCAGGCCCAGGTCAATGAGCCTTTTCCTGACGTAGTTCGAGTTGTCCCGCAAAGTCCGAATCTTTTGTGGCCCACGTCCATTCCCTGCCTTGTTCATGATTAGCCTCAAGGCGCTGATGACCTGGTCATGGTAGCAGTCCAGTGGATCACGCGATCAGCAACACAGTGGGACCCACTGGGTGCTCAAGCAACAGGAGGGATGTTCACCACAATGCAGTGTGCGTTGTCAGTTCTGCAATGAAACTGGTGTATCTAGCCACAGCAATAGCATGCACATCCAGTGTACCAGTTGGCAGCCACTTCTATACCCTGTTACACATTGCACCTTCTGGTCATCAAGGCACAAGACGTACTCGTGCATGCTGCACAAAAGGTTACCACCTGCATCACGTTGGGCCAGCACTGCTGCAAGGTGGCAATGGATCAAGACACTTCTCTGTCACAAAGGGAGTGGCGCCTCAACACTGCAGTCCAAAGTGAAGTGAGCATTGAACATAATGTGTATTCGCTTCATGTGCATCAGTTGTGGCAAGCGATCACCAGGGAAATGAGGTGCCTGGACAACGCCAGCAAATCACAGGTGTGTTCACTAGCACACTTTTTGGACACTGTTTCAGTATCTTAACTCAGCAGCACTGGTATGTACACAGTGCCCTCTCACATTGTCTGTGAAGGCACACTCATTCAAACGTGTGTGTAACTCCTGTTGGAAACACAGGGACAGTACAGGCAACAACCGCCCCTTCTCAGCCCCCCCAAGAAAAAGAAAAAATGAAAAACAAAAAATGCAAAATGCAAAGGACGTAAGTACAGAAAATTGAAAAGTCTAACAAGTCGTCTGTGGAAAGTCGCAGCCACTGCAAGCAGACAAAAAACAGAGGCAGTCTAACTGCATGTTCGGGCGTGCACCTGCTCAGCTGCCGGCGGAGACATGCTGGTCGCATGCAAGTGTGCTGGGCAATGGTTTCTGATGCACTTGATAAGCTGCTTGCTCCCCCCAATATAGCCCCCACAGGAGCCAAACGACTTGGTGAAGGTCCCCATCATGACATCCACGTCCCTTGGATTCACGCCAGCATGCTCTGTGGCGCCCCGCCCGGTCTCCCCTATCGCGCCGATGCTGTGGGCCTCGTCTAGGAACAGATAGGCCTTGTACTTCTTCTTTAGGGCGACGATGGTCTTCAGGTTGCTGCAGATCTCTCCCTCCATGCTATATATTCCCTCGACGATGATGAGAATCTACGCAGCAATGAGCAAATGTCAGGCATGACTCTGTCTATTGCTTGTTTCTGGGGTCGCTTGTGGATTGTTTGCGGTGTGCCACATCAGCACCATAGCAGCAGATCGTTTTTCACAGACCAGGTACTGTTCATGGGATTCCCAAACATCCCATGCTCATGGAACCCATTAAAACCCAATCCCATATGGTGAACGATGATGCGGAATCTCCATTTCCCTTGCCCACACCGCAAACGGGCTAATTAGAGCACACTTTGGTTACTGGGATGCACTGTCATGCCACTGCTGTCCATTGCATTGATCTTCTGTACCATAGAGCGTACTGGCCAAAAGCACAATGACAGTCGTCCCTCTCAGCACGTCGCTGACGGACTGGACTTGTCAATGCTTCCTGAAGCCCAATGACAGCCACATACCCCAGCCTGAGGAGGCTGACCCTTTGCATATCGGCGACGGCAGCTCTATGGATACGTCCAACAGGTGGCAACAAAGTGAATGGCACTCAGGCTTGCACAGAATCCTAGTTTACATACACACCATCCCCAAACCAATCAACAAAACATCGATGGTGCTCAGAGAGTCTTTGACACTCCACCCACCTTTTTCCATGGCCTTCTCGTTCGTGGCTGACCCTCAGCAATGCTGGTCCGGAGAATCTGCTCAAGGTGGGTCATGTTGTCATGTTTGAAAACCTTGATCTTTGCTCCTGATCCCCGAGAGCCGTTGACGATGGATGCATGGTTCAAACTGTCACTAATGATCAGGCAGCCCTTCCCCACGATCACAGGAATGTTGAAGGCGTTCGTTGCAAAGCCCATTGGAAATGTGATGGCTGCTTCCACTCCAAGGAACTCGGCCACTGTCTCCTCCAACTCCACATGTTTGTCCGTAGTTCCTGTGCAGGCGATGCAAAATTTCTATCTCACGCCAAAACACAAAACAGTGTGGGATTCAGGCCCATCTCGTACAATCGCGATGCACGTGCTTGCTGTTGGTGATTCCCATACAGGCGATGCAAAGCGACGATGTGGCCAGCCTGCCAGCACGGCAAGGTTCATTCGCCTTGTCAACAGTTACGGTGGACAAGGGCACTACCCCATAGCCCCTTTTCACTGCCAAGAGTGTGGCGCAATCATCTGGCTGTTCAGGCGAAGAATCAATCAAGCGTTGGGGCGAAATTGGATGGACCTGCATCTGCAGACAAATATACTGCAGAAATCTTGCATTCGTGCTCAAGGTGGGCACGTGGTTAGTTTGTCTATTGCTAGCTTCGGTTCAAACTTGAAAACTTACAGGCCAGCAACATGCAGTGTCAGTTCATGCCGTAGTGCAGTAATAGTTGCTTATGTTTAATTTCCAAAACAAACCAGTTGTCTGTACACACAGCCAGAAATCAAATACACCTGTAGTGACTCCTTTTGAATAATACAGCCACCAGGAAATCTTTAAATCTGTACAAATCATGCCAGGTTCAACTTCACAACCACCCAGAGCTCCGATTTAAACAACAGCACAGTAGGGTCTATAAACATCGAAACAGTGTTTGGGCACAGCGCATGCAGTGGAACAAGCAACCAGCATGCGCAGAGGGACAGCGGATGCAATTGATTGATGCAAGCCACAAATTGGCACAGTGCATTTTATACTTAGAACATACTTCAATTTCTACTCAAACATGGAATGCTGAGCCTTACCTGCTTCACTTCTGGAACAGCATGCCCCCCAGCCCAGCCTGTCCAGTGTGTCAAGGACGCGAGGGGTGCAGTATTCATCAGAGGCAGCAAAACCCAGGTAGTTGTAGGAACTCAAGTTCAGCACTTTGGACTGGTCACCCGTCAGCTCGAGCGGCCTGCATCACACAAATGCTGAGTTCAGTTTGTGCTTTAGATTGTCACAGCAAGGGAAAGTTAATGACCCAGCCAAGGCAGAAACCAGCCTCTTCCCTCTTTTCGAGGGCAACATGAACAGTGCAACTGTGGTGGATTCAGTTGGCTTGCAGTAGCCTGATAGGCAACCACGAATTTCTGGACCTGCAGTTGCCCAAAAAAGGCATGCAGGGCTCCTGAACGTTGGAAGGTGGTGGTAAAGAAGAGGAATTGCTCAGTGAGAAAGGGTCCCTACTTGTCCTCATTGACTGGCGTGCGATGCAGCACATCCACCCATGCTGATGGTGCGCTAGCAATTGGACGGTTGAAGCAGTCCTGAGACAAAAAAGAAAGCACTTCTCAGGGATGGACCTGGTGGCACAATGTGGGATATTCGCTGCCAGGAATCGACAAATTTGGGACAAGGGGAGGTGTCAAATAATTAGAAATCTTGTCGTGAAGATCGCGTGAAAATGGAGTGGGAAAGTACGAAATGAACATCAGCAGGCAAGATCCTGGAAGTTCAGGCTCGTCGCTATGGAGGGCAAAACAAACTTGAAAGGGGGCCAGAATGTACGTCAGATGGGGGCAAGAATGTACTGCAGATCAATGGGAAATAGTGGCTGGAGTGTTTTTATGCCAAGAATTTCAAGGTCTTTGAGATCGCTATAAAATGAATGTCGCCTGATGGTCTGAACTCAGTAGAGAAGCGTGCATGACCGGTATGTCATTTTCACGTTGTGGCAATGATTATAACCAAACCACAAGGAACAAATGGAAAAGGATGATCGATGCACTGCGTGGGAGCGGTGATCCACAGGCCCTAAGTCAAAAGCATCCTGGATGAATTTGGAAGGGAAATCTGACCAGGGCCAATTCTGACCAAAAAAGCAGAGGTGAAATTACTCACATGCAGGCGATAGAACACCCGCCGCGTGTAGAAGTCCTCGTACGATTGTCGTATTGGGGCATAGTCCTGCAAAGCGGGCAATCTCAGCCTGTCACAAGCCCGCAAGAACCCAAATCTACGGCCGGCCATGCTTGGGCAGCCACAGCCTGCTGCCAACAGATCCTGAAGCCGATTCCCGTTGCCCCAACTGCCATTCCATCCCGATGCAGATTCAGGACGCCGGGGCGGCCAAACCCCCCGGATGGAAAGACCTCCCACTCTCCGGCGCGGAGGGCCACCCGCGCGGCCGCGATTCGGCGCGGATTAAATCCCCTGGATGCCGGCGCACCTTTCTGGCCTTCGAGGCCCAAAACACGTCCCTGATGAAGTCCCTGATGTGGCCGAACAGGAACCAGACCGTCCACCTGCATCGCGGGGGGGACAGCGCCACGCGATTAGAAAGGCTTCCCCGCAGTTGAGTCCATGCCGGTCAGCTGTAGGGTGCAACGAGGGGCAGATGCAGGAATCTCAACGCACGATATGTAGGCAGAGATAGCGATGACGTAGGAGGGGCGCGGGGGAGAGCCCATCGCCTCGTGGCCCGCTGGCACCGCCCGCGGGGGGAGGGGGAGGGGGGAGGCAGCAGGTTGGGCGGCTCCCAGGAGAGGCACGGCGTTCCTCTCAGGGGGCTCGAGGCCGTGACAGCATGACGCGTCCGAGCCGATGAGTCAGGCTTGTTGAAATGGCTGACGGTCGACGGTGGGTCGCGGCAGCGGGTCCGGGGGCGGGCGGCTGCCCGACCGCAGTACAGTGCACAAGAGACGGCTGGAAACTACTGAGCAACACCTGACGTGTCACGAAAGTGAGATTGGCGAGGCGTTGAGCTGAGGATTGGGGACCGCAGAGCGGGCAGACATATATATATATATATATATATATATATATATATATATATATATATATATATATATATATATATATATATATATATATATAAAATAATGATAATCTATGATAATCTATGACCAAACTGGTCACAGACGCCTCCAGGCAACGAGGTGTGAGGCAAACTGTTGACACGGCCAGCCGTTGAATACAAGAACCCAAATCCCGTTTCCAAGGCTGTTAGGATCTGCGGATCCCGTCGAGCTCAAAAAGGGAAGGTTCCAACCACGTTCTTCAGATCGTGCCTGAGCGTGGCCAGACCCTTCGGGGATGCGCAGTGAAAGTCTTCATAAAAGACTCGCCCGTACCCTACCACAGCGGTTGAAGAGCGAGAAAAAAAAAAGCAGCGAAATCGAGTCGCTTTGCGTGCATGTCGCTGGCGAATCGGCCAAAAAAATACGGGGAAAAGATGCCCATTGGCAATTCATGTCCAGGCGCATGCAATCCAAAAGGACGTGGACAGAAACGTTGACAAAAGCCGCAGCGATCCCCATGGATTCACTCATAAACCCATGCAGCTCGAACCATGAGCATGCCACTGGTGCACCACGCCGAAATCCGAACGCTTGGGACCGGAAACCGCTGGCTTTGAAGCCAAACTGGTCGGGCTACACGCCACAACCCGTGTGCAAAGGCCACACACTCGGAGAACACCAGCAAGGCGCTTACAAGTTGCAGGTTACAACTTCACAAACTCTTGTTCGTTTCGTTGCATCTCCGCCAAAAACACGCAGCACGACCTTGTGGCGCCGCACATGGCGCGCCAGCCACCCAAAAGAGCCCCGCGAAACCTCGTACATGTCACCACATCAGATCCACTTTGATTCAAAGTCGTCCTACAAATCTGGGAGTTCAGATCATATTCCCACCTAGCGCGTCCCATCCCCGAAGGGGTGTCCCATTTTTGTGAGGTGTTGCTGGCCACTCAAAAAATCTTCATTCGAGGGTTGCATCAATACTACACGACACGCGGCCCAGGCTGCAGAAAAAAATGCCACTTCATCCTTCTGCACTTCGGCACATCAGATTCGACTAAAACACTGCCGTACCTCACACAGCTGCAATCATGGCAATTCAAGTGACATGATGTCCACATCAGTGCATCCATGTCCTTCATACCCACTTCAGCACATGGCAAAACAAATGGCATTGTTGATGATCATTCACTCAACATGTCATGTCACCATTCTGAGTCTTTGATCATGTTTTCCGCACGGCATACTTGTTGAATTCTGGACCACACGGGGGGCTAGCTCATGCAGTGATCATAATCATCTAATTCTTACTGCAGGATGCAAGTGGCGCCCCGAACAACGTCAAATATCAAAGTCAGCCCACCACTCTCACTGCGTCCCATGATATTGTCGCCACCAGCCTGAGGCGACAGTAATGCTCCACCTGCGAAAATTTAAATGTACACCACTCTCAACCATACACCGCCACAACCACATTGTCGGCCCACCGACTGCAACCACTCAACCATATTGTCGTCAGCAGCGTGAAACAGAAATAGCGCCTCAGTTGCGTCAATTTAATCGTACACCCAACAGAATGGCAAGATATGGTCATACAGTCATACAGTCATATGATACGATCATACGGCATGATCTGTTCATACAACATGATCTTGTCATGCGGTTATATGGTCATACGCCACGCACGGCGGTGGTTGTGCTGATGTCCGGGATGGAAGCAGGGTTTGCGCAAAAGTTGCCAAGCCCTCGTCTGTTAAAAGGCGAACGTTCCGTAGGGGTGCTGGCGCATCCAGACCACTGTGGCATTGTGACAATGCCGCTCAAGGAATCGCCCACTTGGAGTCCGCCAGGTGCTGAGCACACCTCCAGCAACAGAGGCCCCCAGGAACTTTGAAGGCGTTTCTCTGGAAGGGCCGCAGCCCCACGATTCCCCGCAAGGCGCAGAGTTGTCCTCTGCCATCAGCCGCAGCCTGTGTGGCAGTGGGCGACAGATCTGTCGCCTAGCTCGAACTACCTGGATAGTTTGAGCTGCTCTGGTGTCGAAGAACGCAAGGTAGTTGGGCTGCCTCCCTCAGCAGAGACTATACTGTCGAAAATCCAAGGAATGTGTCTTCGCTGATCCAAAATAGAGCAAGCAAGAGGCATTGTGTTGAACCTCATGCAAGCGCGTTTTGTGTGCTTGCTATTAGCAAGTTCAGCTGTCTACGTGTGCGCAGAAATCTGCCAACCATTTGTTCTTGGACGTGTTTTTGATTTTGACCATCGAAAGGCTGCCCAGCGCTTGGCGATCAATGATTGGCTGTGGCTACGAAACGCCGGAAGAGATGGTGCTGGAGGATCCGGCCCTTGATCGCCTCAGCATGTGCTGTTCCCACGCGTTCCCATGCGCATCGGCTGGTTTGCAAAGTATTTTCCACCGGCTTTCCATGCAACGATCGGGCATTCGGCATGGGTGCAGTATTAAACGTTCTCAATACTGAAACGTTCCAGATTGCGCCAGCGCCCGTCCGCCAGCGGGCAGCGCACACCGCGTTGCCGCCGCGACAAACGGGAGTGGCTCCCAGTTAGTCGGTCTGTCTTTTCCGTGAAGATCCCTTTTTGTTTCGGACACCCTACACCCTAAACCACTGGCCAACTGACCGGCGTTGGCCTTGTCGGCGGAAGAAGAAGGGTGTTCACGGAAGAGGCAGAGGGACTAATGTATTCTCAATGGGAGGAGGGGATTCCATCGCCGAAGCCACCGGCGGGATGGACGACAGGGACGAAACACACGCGCGCCGCATTAGCGGGCCACGACGCCTCCATTCCCGCCCCCCTGCGCCGCAGAATATCCCGCCGGCGGCGCCCGCTGCCACGTAGGCACGCGCCCTAGCGCAAGTGCTCAGGTCCCCGCCCTGCCCCGTCCATTGCCCCGCACGTCTTCTCCCCCCCTCGCCTCGCCCCCACCGGGAAGCATGGCCAGCCACGCGGTGAACGAGATGGCACAGAAGGCCGCGGGCCTGGGTGCGGCTGCCCTCCCCCGCCCCGGCAGAGTTGCCTCCAATCGGGCGGCCAGAAAGACGGCGTCCATGCCATCCCCATCAGCATCCCGCTCGCAGCAGCCCGCCGCTCCGGGCGTGGCGGCCAGCGCCGTGGCCACCGAGGCGCCGGCATCCACGGCTGCCCCGCCGCGGCAGGATGAGTACGACCTGGGGGCCACCACGTTGACGACGTGGCTGCTAAAGCAGGAGCTGAAGGGAACGATCGACTCTGAGTTCGCGGTGGTGCTGTCGTCGATCGCGCTGGCGTGCAAGCAGATCGCCTCGCTTGTGGGCCGGGCGGGGATATCCAACCTGACGGGGCTGGCGGGCGAGGAGAACGTGCAGGGCGAGGCGCAGAAGAAGCTGGATGTCGTCTCCAACACGGTGTTCTCCAACTGCCTGCGGTCCACGGGCCGCACGGGGATCATCGCATCCGAGGAGGAGGAGTTCCCGGTGTTCGTGGAGGAGACCTTCTCGGGCAACTACGTCGTGGTCTTCGACCCGCTGGACGGCTCGTCCAACATCGACGCCGGCATCTCGGTGGGGTCCATCTTCGGCGCTTACTTGCCCAGGTTTGTGCAGCACGTCGCTTGCGCCTCCGCCTCGATCGTCGTTTGCAGTCGCGGCCTCCTGACGGAGATTTTGATGCGCGCATGGCCCCACGATGCGGCCCTTGCGTCCTGTAGGTCGGCGTTGGCATTAGCTGCTAGAGTGTTCATGCCATTCCCTGGCATCACTGGGTGTGATGTCGTGCGGGGCCTGTGCCCCTGATCCTTTGTCCCTTGTGTGTTTTTTCATCGAACAGCGCTAAGTTCGAACGGCGTGCCAGCTGGCCCCGCGTTGCTGACTGCTTTTGATTGCTCAGTGGCATTCTACTTCCCGCATGGAACAGAATGTGGTGTGTTTGCTCGAGTCGTCGATGCCGATGGTGTCGGCCTCTGCATGCACGCAGAATGGGTCGACTGTGCCCCTGTTTTATGTCGCTTCTCTGAAACGAGACCGTCACGGCCTGATCCACAGTGAGGAGTGCAGCTTGGAGGACGCAGAGGATGGCGAGACGCTGATGAACAACTGCGTGCTGAACGTCTGCCAGCCTGGCAAGATGCTCAAGGCTGCGGGCTACTGCCTTTACAGCACTTCCACCGTGCTGGTACTCTCAGTGGGCGACGGCGTCTTTGGCTTCACCCTGGATCCCCTGATTGGCGAATTCGTGATGTCCCACCCTTACATGCAGGTAGGATTTGGATGGAAGAATGAACGGATGTACCAACTGCAGCAGTGCGGAAAACTACCCAATGGTCAAGTCATGTACCTCTGCCGTGTGCAAAGCACTAGACACCATCAGTTGTTCGAGTGCACTGCTGGTGCCTCGGTGTGGTTAGCAGGTATGAAAGATGGAATGTAGATACTGTATGAGCGAAAGACGGTGGGGTGCCAGTCCACCTGATCGCGCTTGCCTCTGCGGGGAGGCAGGCTTGTCCGGGCACCTTGCAGGCGATGCAAGAGACCGAGGATGGTGCACCTGAGCCGCAGTCACATATTGATCAGTGCATGGAGCAAACATCAGACAATGTTTTGCAAGCTTGCATCGTCAGTCTGCCCAGACACAACAGTGAGTTGCGTGGAAGAATCCAGCCAGTGAAGTTTCTGTCAGAAATGTATGTCAATTTTGGATAAGTGTGAGTGAAGAGGAATCCCTCCTGCAGGTTCCGGAGTCTGGGAAGATTTACTCCTTCAACGAGGGCAACTACGACATGTGGGACGATGATGTGAAAGCCTACATCGACAGCTTGAAGAAGCCGGAGAAGTGGGAGGGCAAGCCCTATTCCTCACGCTACATTGGTGCCCTGGTTGGCGACTTCCACCGCACAATGCTGTATGGGGGTATCTATGGCTACCCAGGTGCCACTAATGCGCCCAATGGAAAGCTCAGGCTGCTGTATGAGTGTGCACCCATGAGCTTCCTGGCCGAGCAGGCAGGGGGCATGGGGTCCACAGGCAAGGAACGGGTGTTGGACATCGACCCCACTGCAGTGCACCAGAGGGTTCCCTTGTTCATAGGGAGCAAGAAGGAGGTTGAGTACTTGGAGAGCTTCACTAAGGGCAAATGAGACAGGAGAGGTGGCTTGATCGCCTTCCAAAACGCTACATTTTTGTCCACGGCTGCATCAGTCGTGGAATTGCCGGGATTTTTTTCATTCGTTATTGTTGCTGAGAAGATTGCATGCGGGTTTGTGTTAGTACTGTGCATCTGTAACGGCAATTCGATTGTGCTTTCCTTCTACTAAGGGCTGACAGTGCAACGATTTTGTCATGGCCAACGGAAAAGTAACCGGGCTCGTGGATTTGGTTACACTGATGAATTGTCACAGAAGAATATCAATATATTGTCAAAGAAGCGGCAATCGTCATAAAAGAAGCGCCAGCGAAGGACCCCCTCCCGCCCCTGAATTATTATTCGAATACTTCCCCCTTGACCGTTCAGGTTCCATGGAGGGCCCCAAACTGTCTCAATCGACAGTCGCCAGCACAAAGGCGATTGCATGGCGGTTTTCAAGCATCTGGTTTTCCACGTGCCCACTATAGTTGCTGCAACTGTGGCTGTTTGCCGTCTGTTCAGATTGCAGCATGGTGCTCAGTGGTATACTCAAGCAAACGACTTGTGCAGCATGTTGCTCGAGTGGCTTAAATGCACGGTCTTGTTGATAAGCCTACCGCAGGGGATGGCCCGAGAATACCCCCCTGTCGCTTGCACATGATGCAGCAACAGAGGCGTTCAGATTTCGTGCAGCAAGGAAAGGGCTGATTGCGAGTGGTGGTGCTGTTTGTATTTGGTGATGCACAAGCATGGACACAAGGATTGCCAAGGGTGAGGGAAAGGGGCAGAAACTAAGGAAAGAATGAAGGTCGCTAACTCTGCCCCCCACGCAATCGTGAGGAAAGGCTGCCCGGAATTTTTGACTTAGGCGCGTTGAGCTCCTTGGTGGCTGCAGGGTCGCTTGGAGACCATGGATGCAAATGCAGGGTGATGAAGCATGAGTGGAGATGAATGTGCGAAGGGGAACATCATCGCTGAGATTACATTTGCAGCGCATCTGCACCATAGTACACCAAGGACGCCTGTTTGAACAGCTCCCCAGGAAGTGTGAGTCCATGAAAATGCATGTCACACAAGTTTCTTGCTCGCGAGAACGGCTCTCAGGCTGTCAAGTCTTTGGGGCTACTCAACTCGCGAGATTCAGCCAGCCATGGTGGCTTTTCTGACATGGATTTAACACGCCTGAAGTCCTTGTGCGGGGGCAGGGGTAGGGCACCGCGTTAACCATTCCTGCAGAGATCCCAGCCTTGCCTATGTCCACCAGTTTTGGTACGGTTCCCCAGGCAATCCCGTCTACGTATCGCGATACGGACGAATACGGCATGCAGGGCTCCGCAGGCTGCCTTTACCGCGGTTGCGAAAGCATTCCCAATACGCAGACATTAAACCGGTACCAAGACCAGTACTTAACCCCCCCTTAAAAAAAGTTCTGAATTCTGAACCTCGAAAAGCTAAGGAAACCGAGAGCCTTAAGAAAAAAACACCTAACCTAATCCTACCCCTGAAACCCTAAAAAAACTCAAAAAAACAAACATACCCTCAAACAACCCCCAACAAACCCTAACCAACCCTCACCCTGGAAAAGATTGGTCCCTGTTTCGGGAACATTGCAAAGTCACTGGGGTCCGCATGGAACGCCTCCGCCGCGGCCCTTTGCCTCGAGGCAGCGCCACTGAAAGGGGGCGAAATCTGCAGAGCACACCCCAGAGGCTGCGCTGCAGGCCGCGAGCAGCGCCGTCCGAACAACTGCTGGGCAACGCCAAGGTGACCACCTGCGAACACAGACACAGCATCGGTCCAACGGCCGATCGCGTGAGTGGCGCACCGCGTAGGTCCCATTTTCAGTAGCATTGGTGCGTAATTGCCTCAAAGATGGAAGGGCAGTTTGGGGAACTGTTCAACCGGTGTGATTAACGGACTGACAGACGCAACGACCAAAGGCGGTGGCGGATTGAACGTGGCGGAGTGTGCTGACTTGGGGAATTGCCAGGTCAGGGTTTACGACGGAGAAGGGGCCGGGGCTCGCTCTGTCACGAGCGCTTTGGAGGCCCTTCGCAATAGCTTTGTCGGCGGCGTTGAGGTGTGTAAATGGTCTGAATGCAATTTTGTCAATGAGGTGCAAGGCTGTGCCAGTCTGTCACTTGGTCACTTCGCACCTGCAAAGTGATGTCGGGGCATGAGTCCGGATGCAGATTGTTGAAACTACGATTGCCATAAACGCCAAGGTCCCAACATAAGACAGCGTTGATGTGAGTGGAGATGCGCCCTACTCTGCCAGTTGAGCACAATTATTTTGGTACTGTGCAGTTGCTGTGCTATTGCCTGACAAGGGTTCTGCCACCGCGATGAGAATTGTTCGGGGATTTGGGATTGTATGCAAGTATCAAAAGTTCCAATGAAAGGGAATAATCGGATGGTGAGGCAGTGTCTCCTGCCAATTGTGCATAAGTTTGACTGCAATCATCAACAAATTGCCATTGATTCATTTGTGAGTTGTTTGCATGCAAACAAGAACTAAACACTGATGCCCCAGAGCATTGGGTCCCATATGTTGGACCTGGGCCCAGCAGCAGTTCAAGGTGATCTTCATGCTTTGTGTGCAACTTTTCACTGACCATTACAGTCAACTCATTGCATAACCCCATCCCTCTACGCAATGATAACTTCGCAGATTATTTGCCACATCCCTCCAATATGACGGACACAGGGGCACGTTGGCCTGCAATGGCTTGACACATTCTGCGCAGTCCTTCAAGGATTTGTCCGAGTCTATCCAATCATCATGTTCCATGTTGGACGTGTTGCAAGTCTATGGTCTATCAAAAGGGCTGTGCTCTTCATCTAACTGCCTCACTGCTTGTACACTGACGTCGTTTTGCTGTTGCGGCATTGAAGCTTAGGTTTGCACTATCGGTACTCAAGAGCTGTTGCATGGAGGATGGCAAACAAGCTGTTGCCTGCTTGTCTTTCCAGGAGGGGCTGACCTGCCCTATTGCAGGCACCTCAATGGGCATGGCAATGAGCTGATCGCAGGTGCGTCTACTTTCCCCCATGTTGCCTTGCAGAAGCAAGGGACATAGACAGTACTTTTCTGCAGTTCAATTGTCATGGTGGATAACAGTCAAGCAGCAGGTGCAAGGGCCCCATTGTTTTGAGAAAGGTCATCAGAGGTGATTCTCAAAGGTGATTGTAGCCCTCACAATACGCTGTGCGCATGTCTGTGTAGCCTGCATCGTTAACACGCTGCACAAGTGTACTGTTGACTTGTCTGATTACCAACAGTACTGGGGCATGTGTTTCTACTGCCAAGGACTACAGCTGGTTTTGCCTGCAGAGTACGTCAGCAATGGGGGGGCGTATATGGGCCTTTGTGCCGGCGCCTACTACGCTTGCTCCAGGGTGGAGTTTGAGCTGGGCTCTCGGCTGGAAGTCATTGGGGACAGGGAACTGCAGTTCTTCAAGGGAACAGGGCAGGGGAGCATAGTTCCAGGTGATGGTGCGCACCAAGTTGCATGTTCCAGTGCGATTTCAAGGACAACCTCAAGATTTTGTGTCGGATACACATCGAGCTTGTGGTGGATGTCATGTAGCAGAGCGATTGTTTCACCCTGATGAGCTGTGACCCGCCTTGTGGTTGGCAAAAAGCTGCATGGGTAATTGGATGTTATGCTGTCATTGGCACAGGGGTGAAAGGAAGGTGACGGTTTGTGGTTTTGTCCTTTGTCAGGCTTCGAATACAACAGTGAACGGGGTGCAACTGGTGCAATGGTTGATTTTCTCCTTCCTGGTGGTGGACCTACCAGTTCAGACATAATGGCAACACCCTCTGCTGGAACTACCATGATGCCTTTTTTGAAAGCTACAGGAGCTGTGTGGGGCAGCTGTCATGACTATGCCAATGGTGCTCCTGCATTCTTGCCACAAGGCAACAGCACTTGGTCAGGGGTTAATGCATTGGTCATTGCCCGCTACCAAGATTTTGGCAACCTTGCTGCTGCCGTGAGGTGATCGTTGGAGGTGTATTGAATCGGACATGCCTTGCACCTCACCTTGCTGGCTATTTGCTGAATGTTGATACAAGCATGGTCTTGCTCAATTGTGGGTCAACGCAGATTGTATGAATTCAATGCTTTGAATTGGACGCCAACTCTCACCAACAAGTGGCCTGTTCTGGGCCAGAAGTGGGCCAGAAGTAGCCTCTGCATCTTGAACATGGCAGCATGCCCTGACGGTTGAAGCAGGCTATGCACTCGATCCCTGGAGAAATGTTGTGCTTGATGAGCCACTGTTTTACTCTGTGTCACAAATGCATTGCCTCTATTGGCATCGAATGCCAGCTGCACCATTCTGTTTATGCCTTACATGAAATATGATTGTTGCCCCTGTTCCCTCTCCCACTCCTTCCTGGCTCCTGATTTGGAGCCATGGTTGTCGACTCAGCAACTTTGTGGGGCAGGACCCTTTTCAAGTATGGTGCTGGTACCACTGTGCCTTGGTCACTTCCGCAACCTCTGGGTTCTGTCCTGGCAGGTTTTGATGCTTCTGAGCCACATGGCAAACTATGGCTGGCAAGCTGTGCGTTGATCTCAGTGGCCATGTGAAACTCGTTCATAGCATTCACCAGTGTTTGCGCACGTTACCCAGCCACCTGTTAAGATCAATGTGTGCATCTGCAGTGCACGGTGTCCAACTGCTCATTTGGTCTCCAAGTTGAAACAAATTCCAAATTGATCCGTTTTTGACTTGCAGGTGTGATGTGGGAGATGGTGTGGCAGTGCTCTGTGGCACCCACCCTGAGCTCCATCCCCACTGGCTGGATGACGCTAGGGATGGCGATCCTCACGTCCAGCAGCTGCAAGAGTCCCTAAAAGCGTCTCAGCACAACAAGTTGCTATTTTGGCACAGACTTTTGATGGATGCTAAGTGCGGACAGTTCCTGGTGGCGACCTTATGACTAAGAACCCATTTGCGAACCAGGCTAAAGCGCAGGGAGCAACATCGAAGGCAGAGCACAGGCATAGAAAAGAACAAGACTCTCCATGATTTAGGCAGTGGTCATGAATGTTTCGGTGCAGAGTTTTGGTGTGTTCTTGACATTGGTGCTGGGTCAGGGTGCGAGACTTGACCACATTGCTGTTGCCGTTGCTCACTGTCTGCAAGGGTGCACCCCGCCAGGATGGCTGCACCAGGTGGCGTGCAGGATCGACAATGGAGGTTGAATCGATTCACCATCATCAGTTGTGGAAGAAGGGCCGTGGGGGCTCTGATTCGACCACAGAGAAGAGCTTTTGTGAGTGGCAAGACGGCCAGCCCAAAATGTCAACCAAACACCGAGATATGATCTGGCACTTGGTTGCAGCGGGCACTGGAGTGTCAGCCTTTCTTTGTGGAGTTTAATGTGAAGGCTGAGAGCCGGGCGTTGTGGGTGAGGACAGAAATTGTTTAGCATTGGTGCTTCTGAATTCGTGGACGCATCCTTGGATGCGACGACCCTCTATTTGGTAATTCAAGGAAAATGGTGAAAAACACCTTTAAACCAACTTAATACTTGTGCAATGTTGAATAAACGGACGCTGTGCAGGTTGGCACAGGCAAGATCCGAGATGTTGACCCTTTCCCACCTGCGCACTATCCGCCTGTGCCAACTGGGAAGCTGTTCGCCACGGCCTGTATCAATTACCGCAACAATCGTACCATTCGTCGCCTGTCACTGGGGACATGCCCGACATGTTTAAAAAACCAGAGCAGAATAACTAATATGCGCTGCTGCAGCTAGGCGAACCGACTTGCCTCCGGGCACAGTTCCCAGACGTCCCCTGAAGTGCAACGAGCACCGTGCCATGTGCGCTCGTGTATCCCGGTCCGCAAGGGCTAACCTCCCCACCACACGCCCCAAAACTGCCCAAAATCATCGTGTTTCTCATCCTCTAAGCATTGTCACGGACAGCGACATACTTAGCGGGGTGGGCTCCCAGGACCGTCGACATGCTTGGAAGTCGGCGGCCAGCGACATAAGGGACGGCGGCGAGCCTCGATGAAGACCTGGCCCTCTCCCATGTTTCGTAGGCGCGACTCCTGCACAGCAATTGTCCCAGCGCCATGCCCAGCCTCCTGCGGCCCATCTCCAAATCGGCAATGGCGCTGATTGCGCCTTCCTCGCCAATCGCAGGCATCAAGCATAACAGTTGGCCCGCCCACGTGACCGGTGTTTTGCTCCATTTCCCCTGGGTGAACACCTGCCCCTGTGGCAGTCTCCACCAGCCTCCCACCAAACTGCGCACCTCCCCATTCATATATGAGCATGCCGCCATGATGTTCGCCTTCAATCCCCAAACCCGCGGCGTCCTCTCCAGTTCTTACTATGCATCCAAGACAGGAATTTGCGGCAGGCTGCGGAGGGCGCCACATTGTCTCGCTTTGATTACCGTCGCCTACAGCTCCTCCCGTGTCCAAAAGCAGCGGGCGCCACGTTCCCTGATCCGATGCTATCGTCCACGACAAGCAGCCCATTGCTCTGAGAGCGCACGACATGCATGGTGACCTCGGCGTCGACGCTTCCGTGCTGCAGGGCCTCAGAGTGCCACGTCCCGCAGCACCTTCCGGATGAGGGTCTTTGCGGAAGCCGCAGCCAGAACCGAGCGTGCGCCTGCTGTCCCTGTACAATGTGCAGACCCTGTGATTGCTGGTTACTGGCAATACGGCCTTTTGGAGAGATTCTACGGCTGCATTGCCAGTAAATGTATCGCCAATATGTGGTGTAAATACGGCTGGGAACTGGCAGTATCTGCTCCCACACCGCGACACAATATTTGAAGTGGTGGCGGCAACTGAAGTTCAGTTCTTCCGAAAGCGGCATATCAGTGATCCCCCTTCAGCCTATAAAGACCGTATATATTTTGGCAGTGCGTAGAATCTACGCTGGATATCGTCTTCGAGGTGCAAGATTGCTGCTCCGTAGAGCTTGGACAGGATGAACCATCCAGCCTGTCCAGGACAGGCATGTGCGTATCCACCTGCAACAACACACTTGTAACGACGAGGAAGTACTTATTACTTGACCAAAACGCTTAATCCCTCCTCGATGCCTCAGAAATTCTGCAACACAGAAGACGACAAGGTTGTCCACGATGAGGATTCTGTGCACCTAATACTGAAGTCCAGTATATTAGCGCCTGTTTGTTCAGCACTGCTCTAGTGCCATCGCCAAAAATCAACCCTAGAATATACTTATCACATTTTGTACTTAAGAGACTGAATGTAACCAACCCACAGAACCCGCCGTTGCGTTCTCCCCAATAGAAAAAATTATTTTGCGATAGTAACTGCGATGACATTTGGCACTTGCTGATGCCATCGAGTTGCTACATGCCATCGAGATCAAGGCGACATGCCCACCTAATGCCAAATGGCACCGCAGTTGGCATCACCCAATTGGAGTTTGCCGCTAGTGCAACTTGTGCCCATAGTGCTTCGTTGAGCCTTACTCGGTAAGATCAAGTCTGCTTTACACAAATGCCACCAAAGCACATATTGCCGCCCTCAAAACCACCCCTTTCCATATAGAAACGCACATTCTCCATGCAACATGCGCGATGACGCATTGCACTCATGCGCAAGAAGCCCCCATCCAAGCTTACATTAAGATTCTGAGGTCAGCCAGACAGGCGCATTGTGCTCCCGTGAGCATATCCGCGCTGCCGCTATCTTCATGCCTGGTGGGCGGCCACGAAGCACATGCCTTGCACCGGCGGAGCTCCCCATCGGCTTTCCGCGGTTGTAGACAGACGGTGCGCAGAGAGCAAGGGCGAACGACCGATCCTGTCCACGGAACAGCACGAATGTGCCGTCTGCAAAGCGTTGCTTGACAGCAAAGAATGGCGGATGGTTGTCGGAGAGTGCTCCTAGGATTTGACGACAGAAAAATCAATGTGGCAACAACAGGTACATTCCCAACGCAAGCAATAGCACACGGCGTGTGGGCGTTGCGCGATCTAATTACGCTTGTGCAGCTACACTGTGACCTGGAGGGTGTGTCCCTTCCTAGGAAAACAACTCCAGAGAGAAGGAAATCGTTGGCTGTTGCTGGCTTGTAAATATTACATAATGTAAGATTGTGTAGTGCAGTAACAATTTCATGGTTCAAATGGAATGTGAGGCAGAGTGAATTAGTGAAATAAGTAGCGAAAGGGCGCTATTGGGAATATAATGTATATGTTGATATGCGCTGCCAGTGTGAACGAAGGGGCGCCCGACACGTTGGGCAATCCTCACTTGGGTTTGAATGACGACGTGATTCTGCTACACCATGTTCTGGGCGGAAGGTAGTCGACACTTTTTGGCCTCCTTGTTCTGTGCGAGCGCTGCGCACTCTTCGCACCAAATGCCCATTCCTGCAGATGTCTCGGAACATCATTTAAGCACATGACCATGCGCTACAATTTCTTTCAGCCGCCTGGGTCCTTCAATTCTGTAGCGCTCGAAGAGTGTTTCTAAAATTTTCAAACTATCAATAGCACCAATTTGATGCTTTCTTGGTACAGCTATCAGCGACAGCGCTGTCACTTGTGGAAAAGAACCTCAAGGTCACAGTAATGCAGGCGCCTGTGCAATGGCAAGGAAATTGTACATTCTAACAGCTTCAGTATTTTTTGACTTTAATTATTCCCGTAAATCGTGTATCAGAAGTGCTCAATTATTTTGATCCGGACAAATAATCAGTGCTGAACTTACGCCACCATAAAACTCTTCATATACATAAAAAAGATTTTTTCCGAGCCAATTTCACTTCTGCATGGTAGCGAATATCTTGGATGCCGCTACGCTAAAAAAATAAACATCCTCGCCAACATCAGCTTTCGCATCCTTCTGGACATAGCAGAATGTGTAGGTGAGGATACGCATCTCCGTAATGTGGGCAGTCCGTATTCCGTATAGGCACACATGGCTACCAAATGCTGGTTTAAGGCCGTACAGTGGATACACACATTCCATATCCCAGATTGAACTGTTCATACCCTGCAAATGTGTACTGTTTCAAGCTGTCTCATATAAGCATTTCTGCACACCTGCAATTATCATAGACCCCAGAATGTTGTCAGGTCCATACTGATACTAGCAGCGCATGTTCGGAAACATCGTGACAGGAGTGCGGCAAACAGCAGCCGTCGGATAACATCGCAGTGGGGCCAGCTGTGCCTCTTAGAAAGTGCCCTAATCTGGGCATGCTACTCAGGAAGCTCGTAAGCACACGCCCTGACGAACGGCGCACCAATGATTCTTGACCGACATGTCCGTCCTTCCTGGAAGGAAAGTGGCGATTTGCGCCCATTTGTTTCCAAGTTCTCTTTGCTTTTGTATGATGATGGATTCCTGTGGGATGGTGGAGGCGAAAGGTTAACATAATATGCGTTAATTGAAGGTCTGTTGCACTGAGGATGATTTTGTTTGTAAAGTTATAGCTGCTGATCAGGTAAAAATATACTCCATTGCAGCCTTTTGCTGGTGCTTTCGAAAGCACCGAATTCGTGGCTTTGATGGCTTTAATCTCTGTTGGGAATGCAAATATTTTGATCTTCTAAATAGAAGATTAGAATAATTTCCTATTATAGATTTTTAAATTTAAGAAAATTAGCGTCATCGATACCTGCCTATTTTGGCGATCTGCGGTCAGCAATGCGTCTTGAATAATTGGAGGCCATGCTTTGAGAAAATCCGCTCTGCGCGTATCGATTGGACACGATACGATTCTGAACACGACACTGCTGCTATCCAACCTATCTAGGCTGCCAGAATGATGAAACTTTTAAACATTGAAAACTTTTCCATCTCACCTGCATTGCAACAATGGTGAGTATGTGCCGTTGTTCTGTTGCGATGGGGGCAAATCATACAGTTCTAGAGGAAGAAACTGGAATTATTTCAAAATGACGGCAGTGCCATGAAAATAGACACACA